AAAAAAAAAGTCGGCTCCCATTAAAGCGGCTCCCTCTTAGGAGCCGGCTCATGTCGTTCACTTCAAAGAGCCGGCTCTAAGAGCCGGCTCGTTCGCGAACGACACATCACTACAGGAGTGACTCGTTTTTGCCAAGTCGTCATTTCTTTGGGATTTCCATCAAGTCTGATCGAGTGTTTGACCTCCATCCATTTGACGTCGCGTGACAACTTGCTGACGACATCATTTCCAGTTGAACATCATCGTCGAAATCCAAACAAACATGCGGGCGTGTGGGTGTGTCAGAGAGAGAGAGAGAGATTTAGCAAGGCTGAGTTTTGAATCAGTCACTCTTTCCCTCCTCTTGCCTTTCTTTTTGTGTGGACTTTTTTGCTTTACGGTTTAGCACACGGCGCTGCGTTAGTCCGCGTGACGTCGTTATTTCTTCTTCGTGCGTGTTCTTCTGTCAACGACGGTCACGTTTGTCATGACGTGTTGCCACCCAGTGGTCAGACGGCGACACCGCAGTTGAATGAAACAGGAGGGAGGCTCCGGTGGTCGGACAAGACGACGCGATTCTCGAAGCCCTGCTGACATCCCTTGAATTCTTTGCACTTCACCAAATTCAGGCCTTGAAAAAAAGTTGTACGACTACATATTTTGACTGGGACTTTTTATCGCCGCATTGCATTTATTGAGGGATTTCTTTTTAGTTCATTTGCTTGTTCTGTGCAAAATATGAATCCTTTGAACAAACGCAAAAGAAATCATAGCAAATTCCCACCCGTTTCAGACAATTTCAGGAAAAATACGATCCAGGGGACCAAATGGAAGTTTGTTTTCTTCTTACAATGTAATTACAGTTGACGCACGCAAATCACGGAGAATTGAAACTAGGCTGGCCCGCAAGTAGCGAAAATTTGCGTTATTTTGAAGTTATAAATCATGACTTTACCGGTGCGGCCCACTCGGGAATAGATTTTCCTCCACACGGCGCCTGAGCTAAAAGGAGCGTGACACCCCCGGTCTAAATAATTGATTGATGCCAATGTGATAACCACGACAAATCCATCACGACGCGTTGAACGACTTCTGTGGCCGATGATGATTTGGCTCTTATAAAAAATAATCAATAAAACTGTCACGTAAGATTATTTGTCCGTTTTCAACACACGTGATGTCATAAATGAATTTGAAATTGTCCTTAAAAATTGTTCTTCTCTGCATCACTTAGCCACTCTTTCTTTGATGACACCCAAGTCTTTTTTTTCTTTTACCTTGTCAGGATAAGCCATTCAGGTCATGATGGATGGACGATGGATATTCTGTGTGGAAGGAAATTAGCAAAGGTCATCTTTGCACACATGGCAGAGAAACATCTTGAATGCTCTTTTGCAATCGGTGATTGCATTTGGATTTCTTCTGCGCGAAATGGCAGTCCTGTGGGGTCAAAGGTCATCATGTTCTTCGTGAACTTTGTGGGAAGTGCAGTGTGGACTCAAACGTCAATTGACATACACCGCTTCCTGCCCTCCGTTTTCTGATCAGTCGTCACGACACCCGATGTCTGATGATAGGCAACTTGACTTAAGAGGGCCGCCCGTGCTTCGTTTTCCTCTCTGCGCATGCACCTCGTGGTGATTGACACGGATGGTTCAGGAGCCCATTTTGATGTCTTGAACTAAGTTGAGCGTGTTAGAGGCGGTTCGTCTCGTCACACCCATCGTGTCGCAACATACACGTTGACGTCACGGTACTGCTTAGTGACCCAAACGTGACGAACCGGGTCGGAAACGGCACCACGTGAACATGTGGACCGCTTTCCCTCCCCTCGAAAGCCGTCGCGCATGCGCGATGAGCCGGCAGGCGCTCCGTCTGGGATCTTCGCGTGCAGGCGCAAAGCGCGGCCTCGACGACATCAATAACAACAACAACAACAACTACAACATCAAGAAGAAGAAGAGAAAACAACAACAACAGCAGCGAGACCGGCGGGCGGGCGGTCCAGCGTTGCCGGCGGCTGGGCCTGCGGTGAGCGGACGCAGGCGAACATCCCGACCGCCGCCGACTCTGAGGTAAGAGCCCGCCGCGCCCGCGCCCTGTTCGCGGGGATGGCTGCGCGTTCTCGATCCGCTCATGGCCGCCTGCTCGCTCGTGTTGCCCGCGTGCCTGCGTCTCGCTCCCGGGTCGAGCCGCGAACGCGAACGGCCGCGCGCAGACGTCCTCCACTGAACGCCGCGACCGCAAGCGACGAGCAAAGTCGAGAGCGAGAGCTTGGCGGAAATCGCCATTTTGTGCCTCGCGTCCAACGGCAGCCAGTAGGCCGCCATTTGACGGGACCGACAACAAAAGAGCCGTCCGATCCGCGGCGGGCGGACGTCTGCCGGGAAAGCGAGCGGCGGGCGGCCGCGCTCCGCTCGTTTGTCTATTTGGCGTCGCGGCGGCTTCGCCGAGGTCCGCGACGAACGTCAAGCAGCCGGTTGTCCCTCGAACGAGGAAGCCTTTCCGTTTGAGCCTCGCGCTCCCGGCCGACCGCTCCCGCCTCCCGCTCAGCCGCTCGGCGGCGACCCATCTCGAGTTTGGGCTTCGGTTCGGCGGCCGCGTGCTAATTGTTAGCCCTTTGACAAAACGTCTGCGCGCGACGTCGCGAGAGCGCGGACGCACTCCGAAGGCGCGTTCCCGCGATCCCCAAACTCTTGTCGGCGTCGTTCCGAAAACTGCTCGGGCGATTTGAGCGCCGTCGGCGTTCCGCGCTTGAGTCGGCGTTTGCGTTTTGAACATTGTAACGAAGGCGAGTCCACCCTTCCGTTTTCTACATCCCGGCTGACTGTGAGCTGTGGGCGAGAGGCAGGTACGCGCCGGACCCGGTGGGCACATACGGACCCCAGAAGCATCCTCACCTATGGACGGCTTCCAGGTTTCAATGAGCCCGACGTGCATACTCTTGGAATGTGCGGAGAAACCCCCCACACTCGGCAGAACATCGGCAAACCCTCCGGAAGGCCAGAGCCTCAACACGCTCAGAGCCGTGAGGCAAACGTGCTCGCCATCGCCGCTCTTGAGCGGCGATTCGCTTCATCCGGTTATTGGGCGCACTCGATTGCACGCTGCGGTTTTGGAAAACGGGATCTGTCAAATGGTTTCAAATGACGGTGCCCTCGTCTTCATAATTAGGCCTCGCGCCCCTAACGACACACATTGGCAAGACTCGTCCAAGTGAAGAGTGAAGGATGCGTGTGATGCGCGCGTGCAGATGGCCGAGACGGTGAAGTATGTGGACGAGGAGCACAAGAACGTCTTCCTCAAGTTGCTCAACGAGCAGCGTCTGGAGGGGGAGCACTGTGACATCGCCGTGGTGGTCGAAGACGTCAAATTCCGCGCTCACCGCTGCGTCCTGGCGGCCTGCTCCAACTACTTCAAGAAACTCTTCAAAAAACACGAGGTGGGCTCACAACGGCCGACCTGACCCGAGCGACGCGTGCGTGCGTCAGCCGGCCGGTACTCAGTGCGCGTGCGCGTGCGCGTGCAGGTGGACAACTCGTCCGTGATCGAGATTGACTTCATCCGCTCGGACATCTTTGAAGAGGTGTTGAACTACATGTACACGGCCAAGATCTCCGTCAAGAAGAGAGACATCAACCTGATGATGTCGTCGGGACAAATCCTGGGCATCCGCTTCCTCGACAAACTCTGTTCTCAGGTACGCGTCGGCGTCTCGTCGTCCCGCGTCGAAGAAAAGTTTGACGTTTGCGACGAATCCTCGGCCCGAAAGCGGCGCTCACCGACGCGGCAGCCCGCCGGGACCCTTCCGAGACCGGCTCGCTCGTGATGGGACGTGGCCGTTTTCTAGGAGCGTTGTAAATGGGAACGCTGGCCCATGTATTAAAAAAAAAAACAACGACAAAACAGGCTTGCCCCTTCACATTTACGTTTGCTAATTATTGTGACAAATCATGAACATGATCGGTGTCTTCGCAAACACGAATGTCACGGGTCACGCCTCCGTCTCCCGTCGGAGCAGGAAGTCGGGCGAGCCCCGTCGCGCGACGGCTTCCGAATCTGTGCCGGGGAGGAGCTGCGTGCTCGAAAACCGACACGTCCCGTTGGGATCGCGTTGTCATTTCGTGGGGTCCGAGCGGCTAAAAAGCGCGTCTTGAGGTGCGGTCAACGCCGCAGCATAACAATATCGCTTCTCGTACCCGAGAAGCGGCTCTCCATTTCCAAAAAGAAAAAAAGTTTCTGATCTCGATTGTGCCATGAGAGCAGTGAAGTGGGCGGGGCTTTCTGCGTGGGGAGTTTGCGAGAGCCTGTTCCAACCACCACGATTGAAGAGTTTCTCTTCTTTTTTTTTCTCCTTCCCGCAGAAACGAGAAGACGCGCCGTCCGAGGAGAAGGACAAGTTTCCTTATGACATCGTAAAGATGGCGCTGCCTCCTGAGGCTCAGCTGGTCGCTGCGGCCGAGGTCAACACTCGATTCGCTATTTGTCAACGTCAACAATGTCCTCCTACGCTTGCTGTCGGGGAACGCTTGCTCAGCAACGGGGCGCTGATATCGTTTTGCCGTTAACGGCGATCGTTCCCCCCCTCCTGTTTTAATGATGTGTGGGCGGGTGGGGCAACGCAGGTTCTCGGGGAGCACGAGGACGCGCCCGGCGCAGATGACCTCGTCGGGGCCTCAGCCAATCAGGAGCTGGATAAATCTCCCAACGCGGCGCTGCGTGTGCAGGAAGCCATTCTGAAGGAACTGGCCAACGAGCACGTACACAAGGTAGCGCGCAACGGAGCGCGCTTCGGATGACGTGACGAAAAGCGCAAGTCCGAACTTGACTTGACCTCGGGTGCGAGTGACCGAGAGTTGACGCGAAACGGGACGACCTAAAAGAAGCGTCATTGAATCCATTGCGTTCAAGACAAACCGCGCAGCGGGTTCACGTCGCCAACTGCGAACCGACGACTCCGTCCCGTTTGGCGGCGGGTCCGGAAGCGCAGCCTCTCCTCTGGAACGGAGGGCGCCGTCAAGGCGGGATGCTGATGCTGCGGAGAGCGGCGGCTCTTGCGGAAAAGCACGGCGTTCTGCAAATCGGCCGTGAGCATCGCGCAAAATTGATTTGCCTTGGTCCATTCCAAAAAGCGGAACTTCAAAGCCACGCCGTTTGGTCTGAAAGTAACGTTCGCTTCGGAATTGGTCGGGCGAGCGATCGAGCGGCCCGGCCTAAATCGGCCGCTTGTTTCCGGCGCCGAGGGCCCGTTCGCGTTAGAGAGTTCCGAGGGGGGTGGTGACGGCGGGCCGCGTTCGAACTTTCAAAATGTCCGCTCGGAAGCGGGGAATGAACACATCTGTTGTTGAAAATGAACGAATGAAAGAAAGTCCCGTGCCGCGTCAACGCTTGCCGATCGGTCTTCTCTGTTGACGAGGGCCAAGCGCCTCGCCTACGAAGGCGCGAATGAGGCGACCGGACTTGGCCGAGACAAAAGGACTTGGGGATCGGGACCGACTCCGGACGACCTTGACGCTCGCCGCGGCCGGCCGGATTGACGTAGCGGCGTGCGGTCCGCAGGTGGCCTGCTACGACCAAGACGTGGTGACGGACATGGAGGCGGAGCCCAAAGACCTGGGAGCCGAGCACCACGCCACCCAGACGCTAACGTTCGCCGACAGCATGGGCGAGGTGAAAGACGAGCAGCCGCCCGCCTGGGCCGCGGCCGACATGAAGTTCGAATATCTGCTCTACGGGCACCGAGAGCAGCTGGCGTGTCACGTGTGCGCCAAGACCTTCTTGGACGAGTCCCGGCTCAGGTAGCTCGCGGGCGTCGTCGCGGCCGACCTCGGCGCTCGGCGCGTGCGTGACCGCGCCGCCTGCGTCTTTTAGGAAACACGAGAAGCTCCATTCGGCCGAGCGGCCGTTCGCGTGCGAGATCTGCGCCAAAGCCTTCACGACCCACGCTCACCTCAAAGGTAAGAAGCCGCCGCCGCCGGCCGGATGGCTCGCGCTTCCGGAGTGACTCCGCCCTGGCCCCCGTCTCTCCCAGAACACCTGAAGATCCACACGGGCTTCAAGCCGTACCGATGCGAAGTCTGCGGGAAGTCCTTCATCCGGGCTCCGGACTTGAAAAAACACGAGCGAGTCCACAGCAACGAGCGGCCGTTTGCCTGCCAGATGTGCGACAAGGTGCGTGGGCGGAGCCGCGCGTCCGTCCGTCCCTCCGTCTCACCCATCCTTCCGTCTGTCCGCAGGCCTTCAAGCATAAGTCTCACCTGAAAGATCACGAGAGGCGCCACCGGGGAGAAAAACCTTTCGTGTGCGCCTCGTGCACGAAGGCCTTCGCCAAGGTGCTCGCGTCGCTTGATTTCCGCACGCGCCGTCTCGACGCTGCCCGTTAGCGTCCTGAAATGAGCCGTCCCCGAGCCAAACTTAGGACATCCCTTTAATAGGTGCAATGCGTATTCGTGCAAAAAGGATTGGGGCGGGATCCAACAGGGTGCCAAGCGCGCGCGGTGACGGCGTGTACTCAAAGGTCGAGACGAGGCCGATGGCTCCGCCCGACGGAGAGGCGCGGACCGCCGCAGGTTGCTTTTGCCGCCACCTTTCCGCGGCGGCGTCACCGAAACGGTGCCCGAAAGCAGTCGGGCCTTCACGTCGGCTTGTCTCGGTCGGTCAAATCGTCGCCGCGGATCTCGTCGGTGAAATGGCTTTCGGCCCTGGAAATCGTTTTTTTTTTGTTTTTTTCCTCCTAACGCCGGATCGTACGCAACATAACAGAAATGCGAAAAGGAGAACTCTGCTGCTCTTCTCAAGTCTCGTGTACAAGTACGTACTGTAGTATCGGTGTGCCGTGCGCATACCTTGACGGGGTGCGGCCCGGTGATTTTAGTCAGGAAGCGCAGGCGGTTCGTGTGCGAGCCGAGGTACGGCTTCTCGTTTTGTTCGGGCCGTGGATTGGAGGGCACTCGGCGAGACGCCGCAGCTTCCTCGCGCCGCCTTTTTTCCAACTGGAATGGACGAGTCCCGCTTGGAAAAGAAAAAAGAGAGAGAGGTCACGGTCGCGCTGTGCTGCAAATGCTCCGTGAGGGGACCGCGAGCGCGAAGGCACTGACGTTTTTTGGCCGCTTTCTTGCCAGGCATCCGATCTGAAGCGTCACGAGAACAACATGCACAGCGAGAGGAAGTCGGCGAATCCCCTGCAGAGCGACACGGAAGCCCTGCAGGCGGCCGCCATGGCCGCCGAGGAGTCGCACATGGACAACATGAGCTGCTCCTAACGTACGCAAACGCTCGTGTCAAATAAAACTCTTGGTTCAGTTTCATGAGCACAAACGTTGGTCGACGTGGCTCGGCCGGCGCCTTCTTCTCCGGTCGTCGCCTCGGGGTTTGACGAGCCAATGGCAGCCGGGGTTCGCGTGGTAAACGTCCAACGGAAGACAGTCCGGGCGGAGGCGCCGCTCGCCGATGTTGCCCCCGACTCGGAAGAGACGCCGCTGCGCAGAGACGGCGGGCACTTTGACGCCCGTCGGATCGGCGCGGCTCGAAGCGACAACGGACGTGATCCGCGGACCTCGCGTGGCAAACCGAAGTGACGGCCCGCGCCCGAGTCAAAAGGGGGCCGTCGACTCTCGTCGGTCGGGGAAAACGTTTTGGGCAATTCGAAAGGCTCGCCCGCTCGCATTCGCTTGCGTCTCTGCGGGGCAGGTCAAAAGGTGGCCCGGTGTCGCGAGCGCAAAAAGCCCAAAGGCCGCCGCACATCTTGCTGCTTTCACTTGAAATCGGTTCTGCTTATTGGCAAAAAGAGGACAATCGTGTCCACGTCTCAATCTTTGGGGACTTAACGGCAGACCTGGAGCCATTTTGACCCGGAGAAGCTGCCGGACGCGAGGTGAAACGGCTCGCAAAGCGAGAATCCACTGAGCTGCCTCCTTTCAACTTCCGTGGCTTTGCCTAACCTGGAGCGATGACAAGTTCAGCTCGGCTAGGCACACGTGGCCTCTTCGTGCGTGCGTGCGTGTACCTGTTGTCACAACTGAAGCGGGCGGTAACGTCTTTGGCCGTCACGCGCCTGTCGAGCTGTATGGCCACGGAAGCTTTGGAGCGGAGGGGAGCGTGAACCTTAAAGATGCCTTCGCACAACTCGGTCACCTGAACGACACACGAGACGTTTTTGCCGGCGGCGGGCCTCTTCACAAGTCAAGGCCGCGGAGCCTCGCGGTCAGTCCGGGAATCTTTCGGAGCTGGGCGCTACCTCAGCGGCGTGCCGGTACGACTTCAAGCGTGGGAAATAAAAGGGCCATCGAAACAACACCGAGCCGCTTACCTGTTTCTTGTTTTTGTCAGTCCTGGCCCTGAGCAGAAGGCCCGGTTTAGGATTGGACGCTTGGTTCATCCGTCTCAGCTGCGACAACAAGACAACAAGACGCGGGCTCGAGCGAGGAGGCGCGCCGCCGTTCCTCGTGCGCCTTGGCCGCGTGCGTTTGCTTCGAACGCCCAAAGCCAGCAGGAAGGTGGAGAGCTCGATGTGACAGACGAAGCCCGGTCGCTTCATGTCGTCCGACGACAGGTCGTCCGCTCGCGTCGCGCCCTGCCACGGACACGCGAACGACACAAAGACGCACACGTTTACGCGCGTGCACGAGGGGGCCGTCGGGGACATCGTTCGGGAAGCCCTCACGCGCTCGACTCAAAGGTGCTATTGAACGACGTCCTCTCACGCGAGCGAAATCCTCATGACACACGCGCGAATGCTCTCGCCCGATATGGATACACGCAGTCGCACAGGCGGTGCCGCCGGTGATCAAATTTGCCTGTGAGGTCAAAGGTCACGCTCACCGGTACGTCCCCGGCGCGGTCCGGCAGGCAGTCCCGACAAGTCCCGCCCCCGCGATGCTCCGCCACGCCGTCCGAGTACGGCCGGTCACGCGGCGACCGGTCAGCTCGCGCGGCCGAGGCGCGCGTGGAGAAGGCGGGCGGGCGCAGAGGCTCCGCGTCGTAACGGAACGAGGAAAGGCCGGGGGGCGCTGGAAAAGAGCAGCGGGCGGCACACTTCCTCACCCTCCAAAGTTCGGGCGGCGAGACAGGAAGGGCAAGTGGGACGGGCACCTGACTTGCTCTGTTTCCGGATGGTTTTGGTGGTCGACTTGGTTGGCCGCCGACTGGCTACTGGGACTCCGGGGGCCGCAGCTTACGACCGGCTCCAAGTGGGACTGAAGAAAGAAAACCAACGCTAACGCCAGCGCGCGCGATTAAGGCAGTGCAGTCTGTTAGCCCCG